GTGTGTGTGTGTGTGTGTGTGTGTGTGTGAGCGTGTGCGTGCGTCTACTTTGTACTGTGAGGAACACAGCCCATGTGCTCTGCATGGACGTTACTGATACTCTGTTTAGCTTGATTTTCGACAAGCAGGCAAGATGTCCAGCACACCACATGACCCCTTCTATTCTTCTCCTTTCGGCCCATTTTATAGGAGACATACACCATACATGGTACAGCCAGAGTACCGAATCTATGAGATGAACAAGAGGCTGCAGGCTCGCACAGAGGTAAGTACTCCAACCTTGGGTGTATGTTTGTGTGTTTTTTTCAAACTGTGCATGGGCTTTTCCTGGGCTGCTGGCTGAATGCTGTGGGAAGTGTCCCACTAGATACTACCACGTACGTGGAAATGAGCGCCAGGATGAATCCACTAGTTTGAACGCCGGGCTTCCAGGCACAGCAACTCTTGGAGCTGGGGACAGTTTCTGCCGGAATCTTGAAATAGACAGCCCAGCACTTGATTTGCCTGCCGGGGCTCCAGAAATGCTCTTCTTCCAGAACTCTGGGGTTTGCAGGCTCTGAGTCAGTCCCGTTAGTGTTTCGTGAGATATAATTCCAAGGGATTTTGTGATCATTTGCATCTGGCAAAATACATTTTTAACAAATCCCAGAGGAAGTCTGCCTTGACCTGCATTTGCTTTTCAAAGTCATCAAAATCGAGGTGGAGGGGGGAGAAGGGTAAGCCCACACACTTTTCTGAACTAGCCCTGGAGGGACACATTGTTTGTGTATTTCCGTGTTAAATTCAGAAACCAGTTGCTTGGGGCAAGGGGGTTCTCGACTTCTCTTATCGCTGCTGGGAGTGTCTCCTAAGGAGCTCTACCTTCCCCGGGAGCTGGCTCAGCCTTCAAGTCAGCTTGAGTTTTGCATATTTGTAATCTTGTGCCTGAGAGGGGGGAGTGAGCCTCTGCCTCCTCGGCCAGCAACTCTGGGAGCCGAGAGAACAGGACTTTCAGAACTTTGTAAATGCAAAACTCCAGACTGCCTCCTGCAATTTAAATATTTAATGCCAGCTGACTTTTTCTCTGGGCCAGCCTGGCCGGGTCTTGCTGCTGGGCTGCTGGGCTGTCCAATTTGCCTGTAAGTTGGGGCTTTGTGTTGAAGTGTTTTGACAAGGAGTTTGTGATGGGTGCACCAAAGTGACTTTGGGAAGTGAAATCGCTGGGAATTCCGTCTTCTCTGCCGGAGTACAAAATACCCAGAGGGCTGATGGCACAGAGCTTTAAGGAAATAGCCTTGGTGGAATTTTAGATTGAACACTAAGTCTCAGCTCTGGAAGGGGACTCTGTTAATGTTGTATGATAAAATAAAGCACACTTGCTTTAAATTGTCAACAGAGCCATGGAGAATTCATGACGTTTAATGCATTTAATACAGCTAACAAGATGTGACCTGCTTTCTGATTGGCTAACTCCTGGACAAGGACTGATGTTTTTTAAAAAACTGGGTTGTCTTTAGTACTGCTGTTTTCTTTATATGTTAATACATCATAGAAGTTAAATATAATTGATGATACTGTTTCTCTCCCCAGAAGCCAGTAGCTTTTACAGAAGTGTAAACTCTGTTTTGCTTAGGGTGGCGACCTGTTGGCAGGAAATGATATTCGTGTGTGTTGTGGGGTGTGTGTGTGTGTGTGTGTGTGTGTGTGTGTGACAGTTTGTATCTTTCATTCACGTTTTTGCAACTATTTGTTGGACTCTTAAATTCTTGCATGAGCTATTGGTTGTCATAGCCTGCTTATCAGAATTAGGGGGATAGAAAATGTCTTGTAGTTCAGGCACACATTAATTGCTATACAAATCTGAGGTTAAAAAAGGTCTTAAAAATATACTTGGTTGAAAACAAGAGAACAGGGGCCATGAAGGCTCAATTCTTGAACAGCTACAGGATTTAAAAAAATAACCTGTGTCCAGCTCGCGTTTTAGAAAGTTTTTGAGAAGTTGTGGAATGAGGTTTTTCTCCCATCCTCCTTGGTCAGAAGAACAGGCAGATTTCTCTGATGTCTATGTTCCCCTGTGCTCCTAAATTATCACTTGGCCAGGTCACAGCTAGATTATCTGGGGGCACTTCTGTGTCCTGGCCCTCACAAAAATCTACAGTTGCAGAAAAGTCCCACATTTGTTTCCCATTTGAGAGAACACCTTCGAAAAGTCCCCCATTTGTGGTATGTTTCTTAAAAATGTCACATTATCTTTTGTGAGAGCTGAACTCAGGAACTCCTACCTTTTGGATTATGGGGTATTACTTTTAAAGATTTTCCCCTGAGTAGAAAAAAAACAGCTTCATAGCTCAAGAAACTGGAGAGAAAAGCTTGCTCTGACAAATCTTAAAGATTTTTTTAAAAACCTCTCTGACTGTGACAAAAAAGCACTGTGAACTGTTTTCTGGTATGTTCTAGAGCCAACCCCGAACATTTCCCCACTAATTAGATCTTTTTTACAATTATCCAAATAATTGCCCTGACACTTCTTTTCTCTTTGCCAAGCCGTAAATGATGTCATGAACCCAAGGCCATAAATTTGTTTGTATTTCATATGTAAAAAGAAGAGAATAAAATAATTTCTACTTAGCCATTTAAATATTAACATTAAATACTACATTTTGATCATAGTTTGTAATTGGAAAAGAAAATATTTCGAAAAAAAAACTTTTCGTGAGAAAGTTACATTGTGCCTTACCAACAATGATTATTGATGATAAAGTTGTTCTGAGCCCTGTAGACGGTTGACATAAAATACAATAATACCCAGCAAGAGTTACCAGGTTATTCACACACAAAATCAAATAGATTATTGAGTGACTTTGGGAACTTAACCAATGCATTCAATCATTTTGGACAAAAGAGACTCACTTCTTTCTCCTGTCTTCTGGTTCCTGCTCCTATATTACATGGTACTATTTCACTGACTCCTCATTACACACACACACACACACACACACACACACACTCACACACACACACACACAATCTGGGTAATACTCTCAAGTCCCTATTCCTTTTTAAACATAGATTTGGTTAGAAAGAAATTGCAGCAAATCAATGTTGAATGAATAAATTGTAATCGAGTTTGTAGAAATTTCCTAGCAACGTCCTTTTCATGGAAAGGAAAGACAGTGGTAAGGAAGCAAGGGGTTTACCTATTCTCCCCCAGTAGCTGACCCCCAACCCCTTCCCTGGGGCATTCTCTCAAGTGATTGGTGCATTTCTTCCAATTAAATCAAATCGAAGTCCATCAGAAGCTGAGTAGTTACAGTTTTGAGAGCAGTGGATTGGGAGTTCTCCTGTTCCTAACTTGTTTCTGCCACTTACTAACTATTTGGCATAGATATCACGGTTCCTCATCTGAAAATTACCTTGCAATACCCCTCTAACTTAAAAATTCAGATTCTGCAAAAGTCCTGGGTTTGGTTTTCTTCTGTATGAGAGAGTGTTGCAAGCCAGCACGAGGAGCACAGACATTATTTCTTGGTTCAGGGTATTCAGTTCAAAGTCACAAATGGCACTGAAATAATGCGGTGATAGTGGAGAAAACACGGAAAGCAGAGACCCTGCCAGCCTTGTTTAAAGTAGCACTTGGAGCCTGAAGTTCCTGGGACATAGTAGTTACTCAGTAAACATCTGTTAACTTGCCAGTGGATGCATCACTACATGGAAGAGGAGAGAAAGTTTGAGAACTAGGTCCTTGGAATTAATTCTGATGCCTTTGGGGGGCTGGTGCTCCCTGAAGCTGCTTTGGGCGTCAGCTTCCCCCACCCTAAAAGTGCTCTCTCTTCCCCACACTCTCCACATTTATTTCACCATGACGTAATTTAGATCCATAATCTTTGTGGCAAAAGCAAGCAAGTCTCTAAGAGATTATAGGACCTTTTTAAAGGAATAGGAGTGTATTACAAAGCAAACAAAAACAACAAGAATATGTTTTATATGCTATTGGCTGTTCTGGGAAATAAAGTTTATTTGCAACATCAGAATCTCAGTGGAATTTCGTAAAGAAATGCGTGGGTGTCCTCCCTACCCCCGCCCCCCCCCCCACCTTTTAAATGAAATTAAGAGAAACTCTGAGATTTGCGTCACAGTTGGTCACTAGTAATTCCCAGGCAGTAGGAAGGGGGTGACATTTTCCGTTGTGTAGGCTACCATGATTTACCCGTGTCTTCCAAAATTCATGGATGGTCCTGCTGTCCCAAATGTATCCGGGAGGGACACAAGTGCACAATTATACAGTTAGTTTAGCATCGCACATAGAGTGCGATCAGGTAGGCTATAAAAACATGGTCTACAGATATCAGAATTTGTTCTCCAAAAAGCTTCAGTAATCACAAAAACAGCATTTTCCCCCCACTTCCTGAGCTTCGTGAAATGAAAATATAGGTAAAATATGAAACACATGATAGTAACCTTCATTTTTCGAGAAAAGATTTCACTGATGTTGGATTCTTCTAGAATTTCAGAAAGTTTATCAAGTTATAAAAATCTTCCTTATCGTTGGTAACTTTTCTGTACTTTGTCCTCATTCAAACTACCAAACTCGTCTGCATTGCAATAAAGCTGTTTTTAAGTATATATATATATATATTTTTTTTCCTGTTGGCAATGCGCTCCTTTTAATAAAATACCACAAACTCCAGGAAAGTGTGGGTTCCATTATGTATTTGTTCTGTTTCGAGGGTTTTTCTCCCCCCCTTTCTTTTATCAACATTACACATCCCACTCCAAAAGAGAAAACTGTGATTACAATTGGAAGCCACACACACAAGGTTTTTATTAGAATTACAGTTTTTGGTTTTACAGGATTTAATATGAACGTGAAAAATGTTTGAAGACCTTGAAATTTAAATCTGCTGCTTGTACCCCTCCTGGTCCTTCTCTCAAACTCCCTGGGGGGGGGGGTGGGAGGGGACTGAAGGGGGGGGCTCTCATTCTTCTCTTTTCAGTTACATTTTTATATACTTCAGTCACAGGGTTTCCCGTTGTAACATCATGTTTATTCATGGGGTAGCTGAATATCCCTGATCAGACGGAGTCTAGTTAAAATGAGATTAGGTATTTTGGATAGGTAGAAAAAAATGAGAAATACTTTGTGATAACTTGGATTTTTTTTCCCCTAGAAATTTAGAAAGAAACATGTTGCCGTTGCTCTGCATCATAGGAATGATTTTCAGTGTTAAACACAGAACTTCCCAAGTTTTTCCGAAGGGGGTTGGTGAGGAGTGGGGGGAGGGGGCG